ATCACCACTCAGGTATAGTGTTATAAATAGAACACAACACCCTTTATTACCACTCAGGTATACTTTTATAAACAGAACATGACACCCTACATCACCACTCAGGTATACTTTTATAAACAGAACATGACACCCTACATCACCACTCAGGTATAGTGTTATAAATAGAACACAACACCCTTTATTACCACTCAGGTATACTTTTATAAACAGAACATGACACCCTACATCACCACTCAGGTATAGTGTTATAAATAGAACACAACACCCTTTATTACCACTCCAGGTATAGTTTCATAAATAGAACACTGAATTCTATATCATTTTATTATTACAACAGATAATACCCTATATCACCATTCATGTAGAGTACTTTTATGAATTGATCCTTATTATAACCATACAAGACTTTAAAAATAATGAGTTATTTTAAATATGTTTACAATCAAATTGTTTTTTGATGTCATATGAAAGTATATCTTTCAATTTTCATCATTATCAAATTATACGTCATGCAGTTTTGATTTCCATTAACTGTTGATTAAGACACTAATTAACAGGATAAAACATTTTAATGTAATAATGCAGTTTACAAGTACTTGAAAATCTTCACAATTCTATTTCACTCAGCCACAGAGAGATTATCTCAGTTGCAGATATTTTATGTGCACACATTGTTTACATGTATTTGATTTTCTTCACTTTACCACTGTCCCACTCAGCCACAAAAAGGTTGTCTCTGGTGTCTACACATAAACCCCATGGATAGTATAGATCACAGTTATCAATGTAACGGAGGAACTGTCCATCCTGATCTAGGATGTGGATACAGTGGTTGTCACAGTCTGCTGTCAGGATCTGACTCAGGCTGTCTGTTGTGATGCCATGTGGATAGAATGATCTCTTGTTATTAGAGGGATGACCAGTGTATCTAAATCGGAGTTTTCCTGCCTGATTAACTACCACTACTGCTTTGGCTCCATGGCCAGCCACACAGATATCCAGGTTCCTGTTCTCACTGATGTATTTAAGGCCATCAGATGAATACAGAGGTTTACCTTCACTGTCAAACTGAATGGTTTGTTTCTCTGTGAAGCCAGAGTAACGGACAACTTTTGATTGTTTATTATCAACACTGTGCATGGTAACCAGGAGGTCACCAGAGGAGGTACTACAGACACAGTAAGGTGTCCACCCCTGTAGTCTGATCACTTTCTGTATCTTTTTATTCTTCACTATGTTTATAGTTCTTGTATCAGAGTCAGTATAAACTAGATATCCACTCCCTGTCACTGCTATGTCACATGGTTTGTCCCCTGACTTGGTTTGGATTGACTTCAGTAGTTTGCCCTGGAGGTTGTAGAGTTTCATGATTTTGTCTTCTCCACATGTCCATATTTCTTCATCACTGAGACAGGTAACACTGTATAGTGGTTTATACCCAGTGTCTGTGGTTGCAATGAGCTCTGGTTTATCAAGCAGTGGTTTGACTGGAGGACAGGATACAGCTTCTGGTGTCTTTATTGTGTAGCCACGTTCTTCTGTTTTAATGGATAATGCTGACAGAGAACCAAACATTTGGTGGAGCTGTTCTGTGTTGATCTTATGAGGAGAGAAACTTGGAAATGTAACATTGACTTTAGGAGGTAAACTTCTGAATTCAGCATTCCTGGATTTGTAGGCAGAGGTTAGGGAGACATCATTGGAGTCCAGTATTTTCTTGAGATCAAGTATGCTCTGTTTTACATCAGAAGTAATCTGTTTAATTTCTTTTTCCTGTTTATTTAGAGCAGCCATGTGGTTATATTTCATCTCATCAATTTCAGATTTTTGTTTGTTGACAATGATGTTAATTTCTCTGTGCCAGTCTTCTCCTTGTTTGCTGACAGCTGTTTTCAGTTTCTCATAATGTTTTTTCAAGTTAACTTTTTCAGGGTTTAAATATGATGTAATTTCTTCGTATGTAGGATAAATTCTTTTCTCTAGTTCATTCAAGTCTTTTTCTAAGTCTTTTGTTTTAGAACTTAATCTTTGCAGAGCATCAGATAAATCATGTCCTTTATGTTTCCCAGAGGAGATGCAGGTAGAACAGACAGGAATGTCACATTTCTCACAGTAAAGTTCACAATGTTTCTGGGTGTGGTTTGGACATTTTGGGTAGTTAGGAGTCGATGTTCTGTGTTTGTATGGTACAACATTGTGTCTTTTGGATGAATCAGAGAGATGTTTTCCAACACAGACTATACAGAGATTTACATGACAAAGTTCACAATGACTCTGTAATGCAGCTGTTTGACACAGGTCACAGAGGAGAATGTCTTGGACACTATATCGGGGGTCCATGACTGGGGCTTTGGTTAATTGATTAGATGACCCTGTAATTAAAAGTAAACGGAGAATTAGATCACATGTTTACAGGGATTTACAGCAATTTAAAAAAAAAAACAATAGAAGTTTTTTGTTTTGTGTGTGAAATTCTGAGACAGTTACACAGTTTGGAAATGACACTAGGGAAATATTTATCAGTGTTTACAGTTAAACAAATGCTCTGTACACCTTGTTTGAAAAGTATTATGAGGAAGACAATGACATTTACACTTCTTATAGTCTGTCCCACCAAGCTATTGTCTCCACTTTTTGCAACATATCTCAAAATATATAAATACCTTGGCCTTCAACCTAGGTTCGATAGATAGATCATTTTTTTCCCCCAATTTTCCTGCATTTATCCGAACCCTCGAGTTCAACTGGTGTATTGACACGGCGGCAAATTCAAAGTCTACAGGGATTTAACATGGTAAACTCGTCCATTAGCGTCAAGATCACGGGGCAGGAAACCAGTTTATTGAGGGAGTAGTCGTTCTTTCCAAATTAAAATTACAAAAAATCCTTAAAATTCAACGAAAGCAATTCAGTGTGTTTTAGTAAAAAATATAAGTATTGTTTTGCATTCAAATATATTTTGACGAGATTTCTCATAAACTGAGAGAAAATAATCCGAATTCAATGCAGTACAAGTTGTGGATAACGCACTGCTCTAAAAACGGGATGTTAAAATGATGTGAAATTTACAGCTTCCTTCCATGAAAACGTAAGTTGTTGTTTTTATGATTTTTTTTTTTACTTCTGAAAGTACACCCACAAAAGAAGTGTTTTCAAGTGCTAATGATTTGTCAAAATCAAGCATTATTCGGCGAAAGCACCCAATTAATGCATATCTGCACATTTGACAGTAGTGTGGAAAAACGGATATGTGTATTATTATGAACCAATTTCAAATCATAAAAAATATAGCGAAAGAGTTTTAAAAACAAAAACTTTCAGTAGATCTATAATGGTAATGACTTTTTTTTGGTAAGAAGCTTAAGATTTCTAATATTTTATATGATAGGTCTACTTTCTCTTTCAGTCACAGGGAACATATCTAAAACGCAACAGTTGGTCCACAGAATTTATTATAACTGTAAACAATCCTTTCACCTTCTGAATAAAATATCAAATTTCCCCTTTTAGTTACAGAAAATTTCTTGATTAAATATACAATAAAGTGAAGATAAAGTAAGCATGCTGCATTTTATTATAAAATAAATGTACTTAGATTAGCTCTCAGAATATAATCCTAAAATTTCCAGGGGAGGGGCATGCCCCAAATACTCCCATTTTGAAATATTCACACTTCCAGTACTAACATTGCAGTTACATTTCACCCCTTTCGCTAACAATTTTTTGTTAAGTTTGAATTCATAATAATATGGTAATGCTGCAAGTTTCCCTGATATACAACCCTTGATATTTCTTTTTTCTTTCATTAGTATTGGAAAAAAAAATCTTTATTTTTGGGGGGGGGGGTATTTCTTTAAAGTTCATAATTTGAAATTCATTGATTTACATCTACATCATAGTGAACCCATTTTGTTCAAACAATAAAGAAAGAGAGCATACAGGACAATCCCCTGCTTTGAGATATATTACAATTTTCAAAGTTCAAGGAAGAGTTACATTTATAAAAGAAAAAAAGTTGTTAGTAATGTCAATGTCAAACTTAAATTTTCACTACCTCAGGATGCTTCCATATCAATATTACTAATCATGGCTTTGCTGTTCTTTAACAGAAGAATTTTAAAGATCCCCCCCCCCATGTATTCCTATGTAAAACGCTCATCGTGGCCCCACCCTACCCATCCTAAAATTGAACAAATTTGAACCTACACTACCTGAGGATGCTTCTATAATAATATGACTAATCATGGCTTTGCTGTTCTTGAACAGAAGATTTTTTTTCAAGATGATTCCTATATATTCTTATGCGAAAGTTTGACCCTCTGCTGTGTCCCCACCACCATAATTTGAACAAACTTGAATCTACACTACCTGAGGATAACTTGATTCTACATTACCTAAGGTTGCTTCTGAATTAATATGACTAACAGTGGCAAAGCTGTTCTCGAGAAGAAGATTTTTAAAGACATTTCCCATATATTCCTACATTTGCCCCCCCCCCCTTGTGGCCGCCCTACCCCCCCCCCCCCCTCCCCCGGGTTATGATATGAATAAACTTGAATGTACATGTAATGTAATTTGTAATGAAGCTTTTACATAACTTTCATCTTTTCTTGCCCAGCTAGTGGTTCTTGAGAAGAAGATTTTTAAAGATGCCACTAAATTTTCACAAACTCTTAATCATCTCTCCTTGAAAGGCAAGGCACTTCCTGAGAACAAACTTAAATCCCCTTCACCCAAGGATGCTTTGTCACATTTGCAAGTTTGTTTTAAATTGGCCCAGCGGTTCTTGAGAAGAAGTCGAAAAAGTTTACAGATGGCAGACGCCAGACACCCTTTGATCAGAAAAGCTCACTTGAGCCTTAATTCGGCTCTTTTTTTTTTCTTTCCACATACCTTCATAATAAAATAAAAAATACTTAATATCAATAAGTTATTCCATTAAATAAAAGAAGCAAATGTGTAAAAGATGATATTGACAATACAATTTTGGTGAAATATAACATCATGAACTTATGAATTAAGAAATGTCTTTTCTCAGAAAGGGGGATTGTCCTCGTCTTATACGCCTCCATTCTTTATGTCCAAATGAAAAATTTAGCATAACATTCATTTGTAAAATTAAAGTTATATGTACAGTATTCTAGCATATATGTACTAAATAAAAGGCCAGAAAACTGAGATCATGCATATTGTATACAGTGTATGAGCACACTGTAATAAAGAAGTAAAGTATACTTGATTATGCCTTTATATTTATTTACATAATTTTTTTTTGAAGGTTAAAAAAATTGGAGTACATTGTTATGATGACCAGACTCAAAGGCATTCATGTAATTGGGTGAATCACAGAGTTTCAGGAATCTTCTGGACTAGTAAGTTATTCATGTATATATAAAATATTAAAATGTCTTTACTCTGTCTAAATTGCATACTTCAGGCTGGAATCTGAAAGTAAAATTGTATTTTCCATATGTATAATTGTATATAATTCATACTATCTTGGTACATGTAGAATTGAAATTCATTCCTTAATTTCACTTCAATTACTTAACCATAAATTTTAATTCTCAAGAATTTTAATAACATTTAACATGTGTTTTATCATCTATTTCAGACCAAAAGTGATGGCTGAAACAAATATTAACTGGTAGTTTAACTTAGTGATCTGGACACTGGATAAGCAAAAAACCATTTTCAACAGAACTGTTAAGAGTGTAAATAAAAAAAAAACCAAAGATACCCACTCTCCAATTCATTCATAGCTTCATTCTTGGCTTCACTGTGTCGATTTTCTATTGTACCTAGGCTGAAGGGACTTTCAAACCATAAACAACAGCACCACAGAGCAGTTGACTTTCATTTCTTCTTCTGAATTTGTATGTTATATCCTTAATTATTATACCCCCCGCAAACGAAGTTTAGGGGGGGGTATATTGGAATCAGCTTGTCTGTCTGTCTGTCCGTCTGTCTGTCTGTCCGTCTGTCTGTAGACGAGATTTTGTCCGGACCATTTCTTGGAAACTGTTGCAAGGATTTGTCTGAAAATTTGTACACTTATTCTTCGCTATATGAAAGTGTGCACCTGGTATTTTCATCATGATTGGATAATTTTTGTGCATTTTACAGGTGTTTTTTTCATTTTTATTATGTGGTTTTGTCTGGATCTGTTCCCAGAGACTATTGCATAGATTTGTATGAAAATTTGTACACTTATTATTTACCATATGAAGATGTGCACCTGGTATTTTCAACATTATTTGATAATTTTTCTGCATTTTACAGGTGTTTTTTTCCCCATTTTTATTGACTTGGTCATTTCAAGTTCATGTCTAAGGTTTGAGACATAGAATCTAGAACATCTGTACAAAAATGTGAACTAAAGCTTAAAACTACTCATTGGAACTAAAAAAAAAATCACATAGTATTAAAAACAGTTTTTACTTTACACAGCAGATAGTGTAATTCCATTTGTCTCTTGGGAGTAATGAGTGGACATGCATCCAGTTAAAGATTAATTAATGAGTTCAGTGTGGGAAGCGTTTAGGGCATCTCTGATCAAGCAGGTCTTATCTATATCTCCTGGGAATTGGGCATAAAGAAATAAAGATCTGTGTTGTCTAAGTCTCTTAGTTGTAATATATGTCTGTCAAAATACATAGTTACTGGAACCAGCCTTTTATTTTTAAAATGAGTTTGATATAAAGGTATTAAGATCAATTTGATTTTGTATAATTAATTATGATTTTTTTTTTCAACAATCAATTTGCAGAGTGTCATGTCTCACAAAGATGACAGATAGTTGCAAACTATTTTTTCAATGTAATAAAAAACACTGTAATTACTAGTGTTGATGTTTTATTAGGCAGCACCTTAGTTTCATTCATTAAAAAAAAATATAATGAGTAATTAAATTTTCACTCTTAATGTTTAAGCAAATTGTGAACACCTCTCACATCTAGAAAACATTAGTGGTTTGGTACCTTCTCTGAAAAACCCAGCGGGGGGTATTTGTCCCTTTTGGACAGTTCTAGTTACAGTATGAATTTACTTTGCACAGAAGAAGATGTAAATTATCATAACTTCAACAAGTATTTACTTTGTCAGTTTCAGACACATAACTCAATTATTTAGTATTTTTAAAAAAAAAAAGTAAATGGCAGCATTTACTGTGGAATCATCATTTTTCTTGGGGGAGGATAGGTGGGTCAAACATATCCACTAATTTATATTCCCACAAATACTTATTTTTTCAACTTGTCAATTCATTGAATCTTTAACTTAATGTATTTTAAAGTTAACCTTATGAATGATGTCTCCACAAACCAGTTGAATTAAATGCCTGCCCACTAACAGCTGATTAATGCCCCCCCCCCCCCCCCCTCCAATAAAATGATTCCACAGTTTATCAATTTTCAAAATAATATAGAGGCCATATACATGTATCTGCAGGTACTTTGGATGGTTAAATCATCTTTGCTTGTGTTGGTCTGTCTGATGTCTTCATCAGCTAGCTATTCTGTATCCTACAATTAAATTCTTGTTTCCAAATAAAACAGCTTTAAAATGCTCTGTATTATTTGTGCTTATTTAATTTTGTCTTTAGTTTTTAATTTTTTTTTTTTTTTACTTAATGTTTGGAAAAAATAATATGAGAGGGATTTGACAAGAATTTATATTTCCTGCAAATATACATTTTTTTAAAAAAAAAGTGTGTGTTATATCAGGGACCTATATACTTTAATAGTTAGTATATAGGTCCCTGATTATATTTTAAATGTTCATATTCATGCAAAATCTACAGACATAATTAAAAAATATATATAAAATGTATACCATGAGTACATGTTTGAGTGTGTCCTTGATCTTTGGTATTCTGGCATTTATTAATGGAAAGACTTGATATAAAATGTTTAAAATCTCAGGGCCCGAATTTACCTAATGCCGATACAGGAAGTTTTCAAAGGGCAAGGTCAAAATCCACTGGTGACGTAGTTTGATGCAGACTACAAGTCTTGTTTTGCACAAAGATTCAAAAAGTATTAACAAAGGTGGATATAGATCTATGGTGTGATAAGTGTTATAAGTAAAACGAATCCAGGAAGTGCATTTACGGGACATGTACAGAAGTGACAAGATGTTTAATCGTGTTTACATTGAACTATATATATATATATATATATATATATATATATATATATATATATATATATATATATATATATTGTGTTTGGGACTTACTCAATGCAAGGTAAAGTTGTAGATTTTGTTTACATTTACACTATAAAACATATTCGCTTACATGTTTTGGCAAAGCAGTCATGGCACTCTTGCTTGGTTGATATTTTGCAGCCTCGAATGTTTTTAACATTCAAACTTACGAATCCTTGAGTATATGAATTCAAATGGGTCGCAGTGTTTAGCTCTTTTAATCCTCTTCTGTCAATTGATATGCAATGTATGCTGAAAACTCCGAATTTTATCACTAAATTTAAAATACACATGTGTATTAGGTGCTTGGTAAGTCTCGGGCGGTATGCTTTTCCGGACGTCCGTAAGTACAGAGCATTTCCGAAAGTGTGTTACGTCATTACGTCAATGACGGTAAAGTACGGAAATTCACGAATAATGATGGATCCCCTTCCGAAGTGACGGCCATTTTGGCAATGTTAAATCCCCGTAGACTTTGAATTTGCCGCCGTGTCAATACACCGGTTGAACTCGAGGGTTCGAATAAATGCAGGAAAATTGGAAAAAAAATGATCTATCGATCGGACCTAAGTTGAAGACCAAGGTATTTATATATTTTAAGATATGTTGCAAAAAGTGGTGACAATAGCTTGGTGGGACAGACTATAGTAATTTACTTGTATATCATCAAGATTATCTAAAGTACAATGTAGCTCTTAAATGCATTTCAAGCAATGTATTTTACTAAACTTGGGATCATCAATGACAACTGAGTAATGTCTTGTAACATGTTATATCTGCTAAATATTATCTTGTCTTGTAACTTGTTAAAATCTACTAAATGTTATCTTGTCTCACCTCTAAATCCAACATGGCCTCCCTGAAAACCCCGTACATTACAATTCACTTCCTTGTCTTCATTCTAGATGTTGACCTGATACCAGGTCATGTGATTTATATACCTGTGATATTCATATCTGTGGCTGTAGAGAAGTTTAAATAGATTAAATAGATTAAAATTATGGGTTGGGAATCACATAATTAGATTGTTATTGTATCCCCGCAAATGAAGCTTGGAGGGTATGTTGAATTCACCATGTCTGTCTGTCTAGCTGTCTGTAGGCATTTTTAGCTCACTTCAACGAAGTTGGGGGAGCTTATGTAATACCCTTGGCGTCGGCGTCCCAGGTTAAGGTTTTTGGAGCAGTTTTCTTTTCAAGTACTTCTATGGCCTATATTAGTCAGAGATGCATGGAGGATGCTTCTAGTGTGTTTTATTGCACCAGTCAAGGTTTCAGATGCTGCAATTTCAGCTAAAGAATGACCAGGTTAATGTTTTTGGAGCAGGTTAAAGTTTTTGGAGCAGGTTAAAGTTTTTGGAGCAGGTCTCATTTCCAAGTAACTATAAGCCCTATATTGACCAAACTTGCATGGATGATACATCTAAGGATGCACACTACTGAACTTGGTTCGGATGCTGGATCTGACCTACATTTTCCGGATGAGTGACTAGGTTAAGGTTTTTGGAGCAGATCTCATTTCCAAGTAACTATAAGCCCTATATTGACCAAACTTGCATGGATGATACATCTAAGGATGCACACTACTGGACTTGCTTCGGATGCCGGCTCTGACCTATATTTTCTGGATGAGTGACCAGGTTAAGGTTTTTGGAGTAGATCTCATTTCCAAGTAACTATAAGCCCTATATTGACCAAACTTGCATGGATGATACATCTAAGGATGCACACTACTGGACTTGCTTCGGATGCTGGATCTGACCTATATTTTCCAGATGAGTAACCAGGTTAAGGTTTTTGGAGTAGGTCTCATTTCCAGGTAACTATAAGCCCTATATTGACCAAACTTGCATGGATGATACATCTAAGGATGCACACTACTGGACTTGCTTCGGATGCTGGATCTGACCTATATTTTCCAGATGAGTAACCAGGTTAAGGTTTTTGGAGTAGATCTCATTTCCAGGTAACTATAAGCCCTATATTGACCAAACTTGCATGGATGATACATCTGAGGATGCACACTACTGCACTTGCTTCGGATGCTGGATCTGACCTATATTTTCTGGATGAGTGACCAGGTTAAGGTTTTTGGAGCAGATCTCATTTCCAAGTAACTATAAGCCCTATATTGACCAAACTTGCATGGATGATACATCTAAGGATGCACACTACTGGACTTGCTTCGGATGCTGGATCTGACCTACATTTTCCGGATGAGTAACCAGGTTAAAGTTTTTGGAGCAGATCTCATTTCCAAGTAACTATAAGGCTATCTGAACCAAACTTGCATGGATCATGCATCAAGGGACGAACAATCTCAAAACTTGCTTCTGATGCTGGATTTGACTTGCATTTTCTGGATGAGTAACTAGTTTTAAGTTTTCAGATAAGTCTATTCCCAAGTAACTGCAAGCCCTATCAGACCAAAATTGCATAAATGTTGCATCTAGGGATGCACACTCCTAGATTATTAGTTTAGTGTGGGACTTTGCCTTACTTAAAGACAACATTCGTTGAGGTGAGCTCTGTAATCTCTGATTACCTATGTTTTGTCTGGAGATGATCTTTAAATTTAAACTACCCAACATATTTTTACAAACTCTGTAGAATTGATTTATACTTTTTGAACTTGTGCACCTGTATTTTCAGATTGATCTGTCAAAGTTTAAAAAAGTTGTGACCGATTAAAGATTTCAAAGCACATAAATTCTTTGACCAGAATAGGAGGATTGATATTCTTCTCTTGGAAAAAACTTTATAACCAAGAAACTTCATACCTAATAAAAAGGTAGCTTGTGACTGATGTACCTTGATCCTGTACTAAGGTCATTTTGGATAATGTCAAGGACACATGGTATAAAAGTATTTAGATATTGACTTTTGTGATAGCCATAACTTTGAAATAAAAAAAAAAAATCAGTAAAAGCTTATACCTGAGGCAAAGGTTGCTTTTGATTAAAAGGCGTGCCCTAACCCTTACCCAAGGTAATTTGACAAGCTCAAGGTCACAGATTTTAGAAATAAAAAAGTGTTGCCATAACCATAACTTTAGTGTGGGTAGGAACAGAACATTTTACTTGATACAAAGGATTCTTGTGACTTGAGGGTATGTAACAAATCTGAACCATAGTCATTTGTTCAAGGTCAAGGTCACAGGGTATGAGTGAAAAATTTGTGTTGACTATGGAATTTAACAATGAATTCACTTCATATTATCTTAAGTATGCTAGGCATTGATTATGCTCGTAGGTTATGACATGAACCAGATCAAGGGTCATTAAGACAAGGTCAAGGTCACAGAGTTCAGAGAGACCTCTTAGAAATGTAAAATTCTATAAAATAGAACTTCTGACTGGAGGAGTATCAGTAGGAGATACTTAGTGTTTGTGACCAAGAGGTATGCCTTGATTCTCATTATTGATTTCTATGCTTCATCCATAGAAATCATGGTTTCTTCTGTTTATTTTAGGTTTCCGCTCATCAGGCCAAGAGAAAGATAGCCGAGTCAACAAAAACTCCTATAGAGTTCCTAGCCAAGTATGATGAACTCAAGTCTAAAAAGTAAGGCTTAAAAACAGGATATATTTCAGATCCACTGGTTAGAGACATTATGCATTAGTAAGGTTCCTTGTTTTTCTAGCTGTCTGTCATCGTCGCAAGCCACGGGTTTTGTGTGCATTCTATTTCCACAAACCCGTGGCTGTCTCCTACAAATTTCTCTCGTTCTCATGAATATTAATAACATACATTCAACCAATGGAATAACATCTGATGCTTCAAGTCAGAACCAATGAAAATGATCAGTCTATCTTGTATTTGGATGTAACCATAACCACGAGCTGTACATCAACTTCGGTTCGAATTTCCTTTCTTAACGAGTAACACTATTCAGCATTCTCAAACAATGTCTACATTCGAAACCCTGTATTTTATTGTAAAACCTTGTAAGTATTTTAGAATATACGTTACCAGTCATGGGTGAGACTGAAATCCGTCATTTCTGAAAAATGATGGATAATCATCATATTTACTTACTACGTATTTTCGTCATTTTTGTCAATATGACTTACTATCGTCATATTTTCTTTTTCAACTTAATTCTTCTATCCTGGTTACATAAAAACGAAATTTGAATTCACCGCTGAAAGAAGAGTGTTTACGCAAGTTTCATTTCATCCGGGTCACTAATTACTGCCGACCACGTGCGTTAGAACATCAACATGGAAGGTGAAAGTTATTATTTAGCGGTAAAATGTCGAATTTTGGTAGAACTAATTTGCCATTTTTACATGGCTTTTAAACCTATAAAAACGTATAGTACACCGTCTGAAAGTATATGTACTTGTAGAGAAAAGTCTCAACAAAAAGTTAAAGCCATAAAAAAGTAGTGCGCCCCATAAAACAAGCGAGATATTTCAGTGCGCCCAGACCCTCCATTTTGAAAAAAGACGGCATATCGTCATTTTCGTCTTCTTTCCTATTTAATGCAAATAAATTGACAAATAACTCTTCCACTCTTATTTTTGCTTGGGAAATTTGTACTGTCGACATAACCAGTATTGTAGTCAACTGTATTAGAGAAATGAAGTTTGTTTATGATGTTTTTTGTCCTTTTTTCGGTTGGTGGATCTAACATTTTTCAAAGAGAGGTAACTCGGTATTCTAGAAACACTCTAAATTTTTATGACTGTTTTTCGTCATTTTCTTAAAAATGACGAGTTTAAGTCATAATAAAAATTTTATTTTATGACTAAAAATCGTCATTTTAAAAATGACGGATTTCAGTATCACCCCTGACTGGTTACTCACCTCTGTTCTTCAGGATCTATCGTATTTTTTTCAATAAATCTGCCACGCATAGCAAACATGAATTCATTATGGGTGCCGCCATTTAAGCGTACCAAAAATTGCTACAGAGTGATTTCATTGGTCAAGGTAAATCTGGCGTCACTTAATAAATATTCAATGATTCAGTCGCGAGAACGAGAGAATTTGGTAGGAGGCAGCCACGGGTTTGTGGAAATAGAATGGACACAATACCCGTGGCTTGCGACAATGGCTGTCTGTCTATTTCTCCACCTGTAAACAATTTTCAAAACCTTACTCCCCTTACAGTTTTGGTTCAATTTCAATAAGACTTGGTACACAAGAAAACTATAATAAGATACATAATTCTCTGTTTATCTGTTTTCAATTTCAACAAACAGTTTTGCCATGGTTACTAAAAATATAAATTTCTTTAAATTTTTTTTAAAATCAGGGCTCTCACACCACTTTTTGGGACTGGGGCCGGGGCCAATCAAATTTGGAAAATTTTCGTCATTTTGGGGAAAATTGGGAAAACCTGGTTCTTTATTGAAGCTGAATCAGCTTACGAATATAGGTGGCATGCACTAATTTATACAGTTCAATGCAGAACTAGTTTGTTTCACTCTCAATTGTTGGCGATTAAGTTTCATCGATTAAGATTTTAAAAAAATTGCCATAAAAGAATTGGGAAATTTACACTGCAGGGATCGACATTAACGGTTGTCCGATTGCCCGGGACAAGTAAATCCTCATTTCGGGCAAGTGAAACTGTCAACATACTTGTCCGATCGGGCAAGTGAATTTTTCTCATAGAAATGTACATATTTAGTAAGTTTACAATAATTTATAAATAAAACAATAAATTGAATACTTGATTTCAGCCAGATACTTGACTGACATTGATTTATATTAGGAAATCCTTGGTAGCGTTTCTAGAATATACGGACCATTTTTAAAAAATCGGGTTTATATTCTGTTTTCTTTCGTGGTACGCTCTTTGTATAACAAATTCGTTAACTTCTAATTAGGAAATTCATTCACAGAATATAAGTAACACGATGTATCCCAATCCAGATATGTATGTTTTATAGCAACTGTCTTCCTTTACTGTTGCTTGTTATCTCTGAAAATCACGATTCACAAAAGGATTCTATGGAAATTAATTTTTAAAAATATGAAGTTTATAAAAAGAAAACAGAGGGATAATGCTGCGTGGCAGTGTTTACATATAAAATTGACAAGGATAGTGATACACATGCACAAACGAAGCATCGAAATTACTTTTGTATGTTTCTCAACTTGCCAAGTTGACAGGAGTGTATTTGGTCACATTTTTTCTTCTCAGTTTACAGTAATAAATAATATTTTCTTCCCTAATTTTGGGCAACCAAGTTTTGCATTCGGACAAGTCAAAGTCTGAGATCACTTGCCCGAAGGGCAAGTAAATCTAAAAGCTAATGTCTATCCCTGACACTTTGCTTTTGGGAAAAAAAGGTACATTTTTTGCATTGGGAATAGGGCCGTTCAACCGCCCCAATTATTGAGAATCGAGAGCCCTGAAATTGCTTCAACCTTACAGTTTTGGTTCAATTTCTATAAGATTTGGCAAATAAGTAGACTATACTAAGATACGTAATTCTTTGTATCTGTTTTAGATTTTTTCATGCAGGTGGCATTGTTAACTAACAATAGAAATTTCTATTAGATTATTTTAAAGTGATACTCTTCTTATTGTTTTTGTCTGATTTTAATTAAACTTGACTCAAAAAGAGGCTAAATTAAGGATCGTTATTTTATTGTTGTTAGATAAAACCACTAGAGTTACAGTCTTGTCAGAGATTTTGGGTTAATTTTGTTTGGCAATTAGCTACCATTCTGATCACTGACAGTGTGTGATTTTTTCCCTTACATCACTAAGAATTTTTTTTTTTTCATAGTAACAGAACTGTACACTTCTGTGTTTCTTCTTTCTAAAATCAATATTATTTTTAGTTTCCATAATAACAGAGAAGTAGATCCTTTTGTGTTTCTCCTATATAAACTAATTGATATTTTTGTTTCCATAATAACAAAGAACTAGACCCTTTTGTGTTTCACCAGTCTAAACTGATAATTTTTTTTCCATAGTAACAGGAAACTTTACCTTTTCGTGTTTCTCATATTAAAACTGATTATTATTTTTGTTTCCATAGTAACAGAGAACTGGACCCTTTTGTGTTTCTCCTGTCAAAACTGTGCGAGGAGGAAGAGGTAAGTGTCTGTACTTCAGTGGGGTCTTGTTATTACGTTGTTCATTTACAGATAAATATCGTAAAACCAAGAGCAACATAATAAAATTTCCCAATTAAAACATTTTGAAAACTTGTGTTATCTGTGGATGGATGTGTATTTTTCCATCTTTTTTCTTCTTCCATTCCACTCAAATGTCTTAGTTAAAGCATTTTTATGCCCCAGTATCAAAGATTCAGGGGTATATAGTTTTTGCCCTGTCCATTTGTCTGTTTGTCTGCAAAAACCTTAACCTTGCTCATAACTTTTGATTGGTTGGAGCTATGGCTTTCATATTTCATATGTGTATTCCTTGTGACAAGACCTTTCTTTGGACACCACCATATTTGACCTTTGGACCTTGACCTTGGACTTTGACCCAGTTTTGCAAAATTTTACCAAACATTAACCTTGGCCATAACTTTTGAACAATTGGAGCTAGGGCTTTTGTACTTTACATGTGTAATCCTTGTCACAAGACATTCCTTTCAATACCAATAACTTTGACCCTTTGACCTTGGACTTTGACCTACTTTTGAAAAACTTTAACTTGGCCATAACTTTTTTGAACGGTTGGTGCTAGGGCTTTCATACATCACATACGTAATCCTTGTGACAGTACCTTTCTTTGGATACCAACAACTTTGACACTTTGACCTTGACCTTTTGAGTTTGACCTACTTTTGAAAAACTTTAACCTTGGTCATAACTTTTGAACGATTGGTGCTTTGGCTTTCATATTTCACCTGTATATTTCTTGGGAGAAGGCCTTTCCCTGGGTACATTAATTTTGACCATTTGACCTTGTCCTTTATGTTTGACATACTTTTGACAAAAACGTTAACCTTTTCCATATCTTTTCAATGGTTGCTGCTAGGGCTTTCATATTTCACAGGTATATTCCTCGAGACAAGACCTTACTTTGGGTACCAATTGAACATATTTGATTTGCATTTGAGAAAGTTTAACCTTTGTCATAAGTTGCCGTGCGGGTGCATCAGTGTTTCACAAACACATCTTGTTACACTTCAATTTATTGACATTTTAATAAATGTTCCTATTTTGTATAGATCTGTTAAGAAATGGTTTTGTGATCTGAATTAATTAAGAAATAAATAACAAGTTTAAAAACTTCAATGCGAATTGAAGTGGGTCGGTCACGTGATCAAATCCTGTGAAGGCCGAAGGCCTTCTCAGAAGATTTGATCACGTACCAACCCACTTCAATTCCCATTGAAGTTTTTAAACTTGTTATTTATTACTTATATATACATTTGAGACGGACAATCGAATGTAATCGAATATAAATATTGCACTAACTGTACGTCGTAGATTTTGACAAATTACGCTAGGTGTAAATCGGCTTGAAAAGCGGTTACGCTTCAAATTCATCTGGCAAAGGATTGTTTTGAAGGGAATATTCTGTGAAAGACTTCTTGTGATCAATTATTATAGTGAGCATATTGGTGTCTGGGAATTTTTGTATTCATGAGAACCCATATTCGATGTTAAAAAACACAAGAAACACGTCCGATGTTTGATACTAAAAAGTTGGAGGAATTTGGGTCGGAAAGGGATGGATGGAGACACTTGTCCGGACCAGATAACTTGAAATCAAGTACAAAATTTGATCAAAAACATAAAATCTACGATTTCAGTAAGGCATATTTATTGATTTATGATGTTGACATGGAGACACTGGTGACAGCTTACATTGTGAAGACAACGTCACAACGATCTCGATGATGGAGGTGTGCATACCGAACTTCCAAAGTGCAGTGTTCGTCAGCTGTTTGTGGCGTGATTGCATTACATTGATATTTTTCAACAGATTTTCAAATTTATTGTGAGTAAAGTTTAATGGAAAAAAATTATAGCATTCAGAGGTCTGCGAGAAAAATAAGGGTAAACGTTGAGACTATGCAGCTCAGACATGAAACTTATAACACGTAGATTTCTATTCTCTATGTAAAATCGATCAACAACTGTATTAAATACTCGTTTACATTGTAAATAAAATGATTATTATTTTACTTGCGTATTTTGTACATTTTTATGCATGAAAAACATGCTATATTGCTTAGTGGAGTAAGTCTTTATGTAGATATTACTGCGCTGTGTGATTAGGTCACGTAATGACCTATGACCTTCGAAAAACTTCACACAGGTATGAAGATATTTGCTCTCTGCATGTTTATATAATAGAGAGATACCACAAATGTATATATTTAACAATGCAATAAGTGTTCTGTCTTATTAAGCCATCACTGTAGTAATGAAACCCCACTGTATTAGGGGGATATCTGTTTTGAATGAAATGTACACATGGAAGTGCAAAAACTTTTTTCTTTTCTATTTGAGAAACACACTGATTTTACTCAATTTAAACAGTTCAAAATTTGTGTTATTTTTGTGGTATTTTTGTTACACAGAATTTTTGTATAACGAAAGTTAGTTTTGTTAATTTTGTGAATTGTTTTTGAAGCTTTTACATGTAACAAGCACAGATATTTCCATGCTGGAGAGGGAGAAAAGGGGAAATTCTGTGCAAATCACCTACCATATATTCTGATTCTTTATCAAAGAATCTGTTTTAGCACACAAAAGGAAAATCTCAAGCTGTGAAGTTTTTATATGCACAATATATAAATAAATGATATCAATATTTAGCATAATGTTAGTACATTGCTTGTATTTTATTTTTTTACCCCCCGCTTGAAAAGTTTATGTATATACGTATGTACATTATGTATGAAATGTATAGTGATGGGGGTGTCTGTCCGTCTGTCTAGCTGTATGTCCATCTGTCTGTCTGTCATGCTTTGGGGTAACCATCTCTTATCCGCAACTCTTCTTAAATCCACTGAATAAAATTTAATCATAGTGCCATTGTGACCTCCTATTTTACTTTTTGATCGGACACATATTTCGGGTTTCCTGTAGCACAACATATAACACTGCCATTCTTTCTATATTATTCAGGGGTACCCATCTCTTATCTGCAAATCCTCCTGTACCACTGAATAAGATTTAATGACACTTTCACAGAATCTTTATTACATAGTACCACTGTGCAACTCTTATTTTACTTTTTGATCGGACACTTATTTACGATCTCCCATAGCAAAACAGGGACTTTGCCATTATAAACATATACATATGAGGAGGGGGGGGGGGGGTATCTAAGAGTATTGTGGTATTGAATCCATTTGAATTCGCAGAAATATATTAAAATTTCCTCTTTTTAAAATTCTTTTTATTTTTTCTTTGGAATAATAAAAGAATCTGATCCAGAGCTGATGGAAAAGGATATAATTATGCCCCCCTTTGAAGAAGGGAGAGAATATTGCTTTGCTGCTGTCTGTAGGTCAGGCGGTCCACCAACAGTTTCCGTTAATTTTCTTCGCAGAGGTTGCACCTACTGAATGAAATTTGGTACACAGATTCATCATGATAAGAATATATAGGTCAATTTCTGTTTTAGGTACAATCTAGCAATTTTTGACAGAGTTATGCCCTTTGAACTTAGAAAAATTTCAATTATTTGCAGTTTCTGTTCATTTTCTTCACAGAGGTTGCACATGCTGAAATGAAATTTGGTATACAGATTTATCATAAAAATATCTAGGTCAAGTTCTGTTTTGGGTATATGTAGGATCGAACAATTTTTGACAGAGTTATGCCCCTCGGACTTAGAAAAATTCCAATTACTTGTGGGGGGGGGGGGGGGGGCATAAGTGTTTCACAAATATCTCTCTTTTGCTATTTGCCATGTTGTTTGTTAATTAATTATTTACAGACAAAAGAGTACCTGGCTAAAAATGCTAAAGACAAATCAGATAAATCTGGTCTGGCCCTGGCCTCACATAGCAGGGTCATTTCACAGCTCCCTGCCCCGGGGGCAAAAATCACCATGCAAGATTTCACCGAGGTAGGAACTCTCATTGATCACTTAAAAAACAGTGCCAACTGGGTTAGGAGTTGAGAAAAATAACTCATCATTAAAAAAATTGAACTGATATACTGAAATTAATAATTACTTCCTTTGTTAACAGTTGAAGGACACTTTGTTTAAAGAATCAAAAATGATGACTGCAACAACATCGTCAGAAATCTTAAGGAAAGCCCTGCAGGAGAAACCAAACAAACGAAATGGTAAAAAATCTTCTCGGTTTATCATGTTTATGAAATTAAACTGTGTAATCAGTATCTGATCTTTATTTTAAATATGAAAATTGCTTTGACGTAAATAACTTAAAATTAAATCTTTTTAAGACAGAATGTATTATGGTATAGCATTCATGTCCTTCCGTCTCTCTGTTAGCTTTTTCATTTCCGGCTCATAACTTAAATATTATGAGCAGAGAGAATCTGTCTCTTAATTGGAAATGACTAGTATCTGTCAAATGAAATAGTTCTTGTTGGGTAGCCATTACTTACAAAATAAATTTGGTGATAAGTTTTCAAAACTAATTTGATATTGTTATAATATTTACTATTTTTATATCTTGAAAACAATTTGCATGGTGTCATGTCTCTCTAAGATGACAGTTTTATGAGTCAAAGATTAAGCATAATGATTAGTATTTTGATGTTTTGTCAGGCTGTAGCGTTGTTTGTAAAACTCGAACAAAACAAGTTGAGAAATATATGATGTGTTATATGTTATACCATAGAAAATGCACATCAAACATAAGGAATTAAAAAATCTCTGTACAAATGTTGACATGATTTTTTTCCCTTTCACTCTAAACTGTTTATGATAATTGAATAGTATTTGACGGGCGTATCATGCACTGTGGCAGTGCACTTTATTTGAAAGTTGAACTGATGATATCTGGACACTTGAGCAATTAACAGACAATACCACAGCACTTGATACTTGTACTCTGTTTTCTAATTATTAATCTGAGATATTGGTAAAATCCACATTCAAAACACACAACAAAATCATTTTTACAGTAAACATTCCTCCTCAGCCAGACTGGTTGTTTAAGAGACCTTCCCTGACCCTGGACTTCATTGTGGGAGTAGATGAACCCTCTGATCAGGTATGTATCACTTGACTTCATAGTGGGAGTAGATGATCCCTCTGATCAGGTATCAAACAGTTGACTTCATTGTGAGAATAGATCACGTATCTAACACTTGAATTCATTATGGGAGTAGACGAACCCTCTGATCAAGTGTATAACACTCGACTTCATAGTGGGAGTAGATGAACCTTCTGATTAGGTACTTAACACTTGACTTAATAGTGGGAGTAGATGAACCCTCTGATCAGGTATTTAACACTTCCTTGTGGGATTAGATTAGGTGTTTTACACTTGACTTCATAGTGGGAGTAGATGAACCCTCTGACCAGGTGCATAACACTTCACAGGGCTCGACATTAACGCTTGTCCGCATATCCGGTACCAGTGAAACAAAAATTACGGACAAGTGAATATTGCTGGGCACTTGTCCGATTGGACAAGTGCATTTTAATTTAGTCTCTAAATAATAAAGAGAACGACTGTTGAAAGTTAATCGGTAGTTTCAAGATGGAAGCTGTACATAAAAACCGGACTTCGATTCACATTCGATCGGGATCGAAGTTCACTAATTGCATACTACTGAAAAGGCATGGAACTTACGAACTTAACAAAGTTTGGATTCTGCTTGATGTTGAAAGGTTCACTTCTTGTTGTCAGATAAAATTTCGTTTTATGTGTTTGTTGTATTTATCAATAACATCACAAATAAATCAAGCACATGTCATGTGTAATGGACTTTATTTTAGTTTTCACTTTTCAAGTTGACAGTATTAGATCTCTATTCAAAAATTTTCAGACAAGTGAAGTTGAAGTTTGGACAAGTAAATGTCTTGGTCACTTGTCCGAATGGACAAGTAGGGAAAAAAGTTAATGTCGAGCCCTGCTTCATTGTGGAATTAGATTAGATATTTAACACTTGACTTCATTGTGGGAGTAGATGAACCCTCTGATCAGGTGTATAACACTTGACTTCATAGTGGGAGTAAATGAACCTTCTGATTAGGTACTTAACACTTGACTTCATAGTGGGAGTAGATGAACCCTCTGATCAGGTATTTAACACTTCATTGTGGGATTAGATTAGGTGTTTAACACTTGACTTAATAGTGGGAGTAGATGAACCCTCTGACCAGATGCATAACACTTCATTGTGGGATTAGATTAGGTATTTAACACTTGACTTCATTGTGGGAGTAGATGAACCCTCTGATCAGATATTTAACACTTCATTGTGGGAGTAGATTAGGTATTTAACACTTGACTTCATAGTGGGAGTAGATGAACCCTCTGATCAGGTATTTAACACTTCATTGTGGGAGTAGATTAGGTATTTAACACTTGACTTCATAGTGGGAGTAGATGAACCCTCTGATCAGGTATTTAACACTTCATTGTGGGAGTAGATTAGGTATTTAACACTTGACTTCATAGTGGGAGTAGATGAACCCTCTGATCAGGTATTTAACACTTCATTGTGGGAGTAGATTAGGTATTTAACACTTGACTTCATAGTGGGAGTAGATGAACCCTCTGACCAGGTGCATAACATACATACGATTATCTCCTAAATTGAAGGAAATCCTCAAAATCAAGTATCTATGTGATGATGTCATTGTTAATGTATGTTCATGTACATGTATTGTTGAAACATAGCAGCTGAAGCTAAATTACTTCATTAATGAAAAAGGTGACGATAACGAACAGCGGTCGATCTTAAAATATCAACAAACAATGCCAATCTGTGAATAAAGCACAAACCCAAATGCCCTGAAATACCAGGTATGTGATTAAATGTTTAAGGAGTAAGCATCCCCTGTTGCCCGGTAACACTCATCGTTTGCCCTATGTATTGATCATGATCAAGTGGAACATTCTGTAGTCAAATGTAGTATAAAAACAAAGGCCTAACAATTGGTATGAAACAAGTCAGCCAAAATACGACCCAAATTATAAGTTATCTTTGCTAACAAAGTTATTATAACAGCAATAGAATTTACAAAATGCTCACTTTAAATGAGTTTGAAATTCCTGTAACACCAACTTATCTGTCAGTAGCCTGCCTAGGTTTAAAAATTGATTGTACTAGGAAAATGCTCTTGAGTAGCGAATAAATTGGGAGACATAAAAACCATATGCTGATGATACCAGAATATTACTACATACTGTGATTGAAGTTTTGTATATGCAAATGTTAATAACCCAGATAAAAATTGTAAAACTAGAGCAAATTGCAGTATAAACAAAACTGAAAATGTTTTAAAATATTTTTTTTAAAATTAATTTTACAGAATATTGTTCCTCTAAGCAGCATGAATGTACCAGCTCAGGAACACGCCATTCTGGATGACATGTTGAACTGTATGCAGGTATAAATATGTATTATCCAATAACAGATAGCATGGACACATCCAGGGTTTTCCCATTTATCTTCAGAGAGGCTTCCCTTTCCCTCAGAGAGTGTAATATTCTGGAATAAGACACAAATTTATAAGACATATCTTCTAGGAAGAAAAACATTGCAGTTTATAGCGAGCACAAAATATCAAAGGAAAAGTGTTTTTTTTAAAGGTTACATTATAGTACATGTACTTGTATGGTAATGAAACGGAATTTCTAAAATTATAATTATATGATATATAAAGCTTTATTAATAAGACATTTCTTTTAGGAACAAAAAAGGTACCTTTTATACAATGTACATAAACATTAAATATCAAAGAAAAAGAGTTTTCTGTAAATATAACATTATAATAGTTCTTGGCAGAGAATATGTTGATTTTTGTTTGGACTAAAAAGAGATTGTTTTTCACAGGGAATTGAGGGTAAATACATCCTGGCTAGAGCTCTGACAGAGAGATACGCTCCAAAGGAATTCATGTTGGACCAAAATTTGGGTAGGTAGAGATGTCAAAATTTCTGATTTAGGGAAGAAGATTTTAAAATGTAATACAAGTGTCTATAGTAAAATACCAGAACAAGATAGAAAGTTAATATGTCAAAAAATGACTTGAAGTTGGACACAGATATGTTACAAATTATGAAAGTTATATATGATGTGGAAAATGTCATAAAGGATAAAACAAAGTATTTAGCAAAAATATGAACAAAATAAAATGGAAAATACATGCATATTTAGAAATATAATAAAATACAATACTAAATACAAAATATCAAATAAAATGTAATAATACAATATATATATCACAAAATATGATACAAAGGATGTTTCCAGTACAGTTGCAGGGCTCTAATTGGCGACTCATTTAGTCGCCATGGTGCCTAAAATTTTTGATTGGGGCCTAAAAATTTTCCTTAAGTCACCAAATTGGTGACCATTTTAAATTGACTTGGCGATCATCGGATTCCAGAAATTTTAACATTTTTGTCTGTTTTTGTCTGAATAAGTGAAAAGAAATTTAAAAGAAGAGGAAATTATATTTAGCAATGGACATGGCATGTTTTCTTAGTCATGTCATTGGTCCCTATATTGATTACTATTAACTTTTAAAGTTGGCGGCATAAAAAAAAAAAATTGCCTGGTGACTAAAAATTTGCATTGGCGACTAAATTTTTTGATAAGGTGCCATTTAGCGCCTAAATTTTAGAGACCACTTAGAGGCCTGAGTTGTTAAACTATGTGCAGTATTTTTTGTTTTGATATTTATAACTGGCAAACAAGTTATTTCTTTTAACTGGCAAACAAGTTATTACTTTTTAATTGGCTCGTATGAAAGCTGAAAATTTATGTTTACTTATAGATCCCTCACTACAAGACCTTGTCAGAAGAATTCTTCCACTGTGTTGTAATTACTCTACTGTGGTGAGGTTTATTGAAGGTAAGACAATTATATATACATATATACTGCAGAGAATATTGAATGGTCTGACTTATAAAATATGGTGATTTGTATGTTATACAAGTAGCTCTCAGTTGTAATTTACATGTGCCACATGTAAATAATTTGTAGATGAATTTTGTAAATTTGTCCTTTTTTTTTGGCTTTTGTCTGTAGAAAATTACAAGTGAATAACGATGGAATTCCTTTACCTTTAAAGGGAGTGGTTTGATAAGGTACAAGTCATGGATTTAAACTGTTAAGTCATGTTACTTTGCTTTTATTTTTTTCAGAGAAGTCGGCATTTGAGTATGGACTTGTCAACCAGGCCTTGAGTGCAGCCATGAGAACTCTGATCAAGGTATGAATGTATACTCTCATGTGCCTGAATTTCACTTTAATGCCTGTGTAACATCAATATTTGCAATACTTGTTTATTTATTTAAATGTTTTGCCTGACATTCATTTAGATATTTTATGAATTGATTATATTCTACAGAATGTAGTTAGATTACACTTTGTATTTTTTTTTCAGGATTACATGGTTCTTGTAGCACAATTGGAACACCAGTACAGATTGGTTAGTGAAAAAATTATTGTGGTTCCTAGTTCTTAAACTAGAATGTTACCATTTTTTACATCTCAAACTTTGTGAGATCGGAGTTTCATGAATTTAGGAAAAAAGTAATGATTTGATTTCGTGGTTGGAAAAGAAAAAGCATGCTATAGTTTAATGGTAGCATGAATTTGTTGGTCTCTTCAAACAATGATAACGTGGATTGATTGTATGTTGTTTTACGACCCATTCGAAAATTTTTCACTCATATAGAGATGTCACTATATACTGTTGAAGGGCTTCAAATTTAGACCTTTACTCGGCACTCAGGGCCATTGAGCAGTGAGGGTTCTTTATCGTGCCAACGCCTACCGTGACATGGGGCCTCGGTTTTTAAGGTCTCACCCACAGGACCCGCAACTTTCACTTCAAAGTGCAGAGCGCTTGGCGAAGGAACAGTTGCTACCTATTTTTTATCCACTTAGGTCAGTTGCAGCTGTGATTTGAACACACGACCTTCCAATCACGGAGCGAGCGCTCTACCTGATAACATGGAAAGTAAAACCCTATGAAAATTAGAGCTTTCACAGTAATCTTCTTTGTTATTGTTTGACACTGTATTCAAAGTTCAGATTTAACAAAATAAGTAGGATCATTAAAGTGTGTTGAAGAATGCTGAATTATTTGTAACTACATGTCATCAGTATACAATTTTTTTTCTCCTAACAGGGTAACCTGAGTTTACAGAAGCTGTGGTTTTATATTCAGCCAACCATGAAGACACTGGACATTTTGGCATCAGTGGCCAACTCTGTCAACAAGGTTTACAGCTTTACTTAGGTCTTTTTTAAGTGTCTTTCATAAATCTGAAGTTTCTAAAACAAACAAAAAATATCTTGAGAATAAATCTGAATGTTATCTACCTGTAATATAGTCTATTGTAAATAAAACAGATTGGCCCATAAATTGAATTTCAGATATACTTTTTGAAGTTTCACTTTCAATACACAAGTACAGTAACTGCCCTAACAAAAAAATACTATAGTTAACTATATTTTACTCTAGTTAACTAGAGTTAACTATAGTGATAACTTTGACACTTATATTTACTATAGTTAACTATATAATTTTTTTTGTTAGGGTGATTTTTTAGTTCTATGCCAGAAGCTCTTATTGCTAGCAAGATTTATATTCAAGATGGGCCACTTATTCTGTACAGTATTGTATCGTCATTGTTTATATTTGTTTACAGGGGGAGTGTATAGGAGGGGCAGTGTTGAGTCTCCTCCATGATAAAACAAGTGGACTGGTCGGGTAATATTATCTTATTTCAACAATATTCCTTATTTGGGATCAAAATTATTGTCCAAAAGTAATTTAACTGAAAAATCACATCAGTGACACAATGATCTAAAATGAGAGATTTTCTTGGTTGTAGGGATTCTAAAGGACAGGATCTTTGTCTTTACCTGACACAGTCAGTGAGTATTGACAGACTTAATACAGCCAATTTCTTTTATGTTGGAACTTCTCAGTTGCTGGAGAATTGTATGTAATGAATATTGGATGGTATTGGTACCACATTTAATTTACAGTCAAATGTCATTATCTTGAACTCATTGGGACAAAAAAAAATGAGATATGAAAATGTTCGAGATTTTGAGGTAAAAATACCAAAGAAAATAGTGGTTGGGACTTTCAAATCACTTTGACATATCCGTGGTATTTTAGGTATCAAAGTTGGAGACACCATAGTTCAGCTGTATAATTATAATTTTTTCTGTAGGCCTCAGTCCCATATTTTGAGATTCTGGAGAAGTGGATTTATAAAGGAATCATCTCAGACCCATACTCTGAGGTATACTTAATGTGTATCAGTTTTGAGACGCACATAATGTCTAATTTTATTTTTTTTAAATGAAGCTTTGGTACATGTAGGTTTGGGGAAAGAGATGATTTTTGAAAAAAAATTGTCTCAGTTACTTGTTTGTGATCAGCTTGTTTTATTTAGCAATGACTGATTTGTTGACAGTTTCTTGTGGAGGAGAATGAGACGATTAACAAGGAGAAGTTACAGGAAGAGTACAATGATGCATACTGGGAAGGACACTACACGATCTGTCGGGAGCGGATCCCAGTGTTTCTTGAACAGGTGGCCAACAAAATCCTCAATACGGGAAAATACCTCAATGTTGTACGACTGTGTGGTAAGAAAAATCCTTTTCAATTTTATTCTTCAATTTTTCTTTAATAACATCAGTTGGAACCAAATCGTTGTATATTTAGAATTTCTGATCTTTGATTGTAGGTCGTGATGTGCAGTGTCCCTGCGCTGAAGAAATTGTATACACTGTGAAGGAAAGGAAATACTATGAACAGATAGAGAAGGCGTATGAGTACTCCAGTAAACTACTGCTGGAATTACTAGTCGAAGAGAAGGAACTGATGGCCAGGATCAGGTAATGGGTAGTTAAGGTTGTCTGTTTTATTCATGCTTTTATTGTGGAAACAAAGGAATCCCTTGATAAATATAAAATGCAGAATGTACATGTATGCTAACAATTTGAATCCTGGATATGGAAAGATTTTGAATAACTTGTTTTTGATTTTAGATCCATTAAGCATTACTTCCTGTTGGACAAGGGAGACTTTATCGTCCAGTTTATGGACATGACAGAGGACGAGATGAGACAAGACATGGAGAACATTACACCCACACGTCTGGAGACCTTACTGGAACTGGCCTTGAGGACAAGTACAGCAAACATCGACCAGTTCAAGGATGATCTCAGGTGAGTACAGATAACATTGAGCAGTTAAAGATTTATCTGAGGTAAGTACAGTTTTAAATGACCAGTTCAAGGATAACCTCAAATGAGTACAACAGCTAATATAGAACAAAATGGTATCAGGTAAATACAGGTAAAATTGACCAGCTCAAGGACAATCTCAGATGAGAAGATATTACAGGAAAAAATTGACAAATTTAAGGATATCATCTGTGATTAATTGCATTTATAAACTTTAAATAAATGCTAAATTCTTTTGTAGAGTGGAGTTGCTTCCCTTTGACCTAATCACACAGCTATTTAAAATCCTTTCCATAGAGACAAAGAAAGAAAAAGGTTTGATTTTAAATCTGTATCAGTATGATTAGGATCCTATGAAATATTGAGTTTATTGTCTTCAGTTGGAAGGTTATATTTCATTATACTTGATTCTTGTTAAAAGTTGAGATGACTTGCTCATCCCTAGACATTGGGTTTTTTGTACAGTGTGTAGTAATGTATTTTCTGTCTTTTGATTACAGAGTATAAAGTTGATCCAACTGACCTTCACCTCTCTGGACTCGAGTCCTTCTCCTTTGACTACATGGTCAAGTGGCCAGTGTCCCTGGTTCTTAACAGGAAGGTATGGAGTCTGTTAATAACTTGTCATTGTAATATAGAATTGACAGAAAGATTCACCTAGCAATGTAACAAAGAATTTAGTTATGTTACTTCTATTTAGAAAAGCATTCTTTGTTTATTGCCAAGTATAGATTTCATTTAGCTTTGGGTAACGTATTTGTTTTAAATCATTCCATGCAGTATCAAAATGTGTAATTTTTCACTCTTATAGAAATTATCATTTATTGAACATGTCCCTGTTATTTTTTATAGGCACTAATCAGATACCAGATGTTGTTCAGACATCTTTTTTATTGTAAACATGTAGAGAGACAACTTTGTAGGTGAGTAAATTATAACAACATGTAGAGAGACAACTTTGTAGGTGAGTAGATTATAACAACATGTAGAGAGACAACTTTGTAGGTGAGTGTATTATAACAACATGTAGAGATACAATTTTATAGGTGAGTATATTATAAAACATGGTTAGTTAAATAATAATTTATATGTTACTTTGTATAGTCATTAGTAAAACTGTTAGTTGCGATTTCCCTTCAGTAATTCCAAGCATTTAGATAATTTTATTCTATTGTAGATTTAAAAGTAATTATATTTTTAAAATTTTAAGAAAGGATACGCAATGAACAATTGGTCAAGTATAGTCACAACATCAAGATCTCTTTCCTTCAAGATTTAAAAAGTATTTTTTCCTGTCTGTCAGTGTGTGGATCGGTAACAAGGCAGCCAAGATGTACTCCCTCCACTCCTCTAAGTGGTACCTGGCCGCATTCGCTCTCCGTCAGAGGATGCTTAACTTTGTCCAGAACTTTGAGTACTACATGATGTTTGAGGTGGTAGAACAAAACTGGCTTGTTTTCCAACAGAACATGGAAAATGTATGACATTTTCATTTAACTAAGGTGAAAAAGAATTGCCTCTATATATAATTTATTTTACATGCTTCACCAAGGTAAAACAAACTGTATACGTTGTTTATATTTGAGAAAGATGAAAATTATACAACTCTCATATTCTTTGTATCATACTAGGCCATCATTAAAAATATCTTTGTTTCCCCTAATGCGACCCAAAAATCTCAAGTTGGGTAGGTAGGTAGGCAAATAATTTTTTTTTGACAGCAGCTTTGAAAATACATTCTTAAAATTAAATGGAATGATACCTTTATAAAAAAGTTAAGCACAAAAGAAAGCGATTTGTAAACAGCTAGAATACCATACAAATGCCATTTAGACTAACATTTAAGGTACATGTAAATTAATTCACAACTATTATTCAATGAACTTGTGAAATATCTCATACCAGAGTAAATTTGTTGAAATTGAATACATCTGTTTAAAAGATTCTCGGGTACAAAAAGACTGAACATACGAGTATTTTTTCACACCTACTATAAGCTTCCAGTGCTTACATATGCAGTGTACTTTTTTCAAGGGCTTCGAATTGTGCAGTGGTTCTAGAGCATTTCGTTTTGGAGTCTCGAAGTAAGGAGTATTTCTAAGTTGCGGGTGTAAATCCCAATGCGCGACGTTGAGACCAGTTCTTCGAATGAGACCATAAAACTTAGGTCCAGTGTCGCAATAGATACTGGCATTAAAAAGATCCCTCACTGCTCAATGGCCTAAAGTGCTGCGTGCAAGTCTAAATTTTGAGCCCTTCACCAGACAAATGTTTAAATAAATGTTGTTGTCCCAATAATTATCAAAGGAATTCAAATCAAAGAAACAACCGATCTTCAAGGGCCTTATTCAAGAAAAATACACTGACGTCTCAGGAATCTTGTATCATTATTTCAAATTTATTTGGAAAAAGTGTGTTGACCATATTTAATTGAGACAAACCATATCTAAAAATGATAAAATTCATACACAATGTCAAAGTCATAAAGTTTAACCCATGAATAAAAGGCATTAAGAAAAGGTGTTTGAATTTTATTCATTAGGATGAAATACTATATAGGGGGAAAATAACTCGTGGTGTTAATATTCACTATATTCACGGTGTTAATAAATCCGTGAATTCAAGAAACAGTGAATAAGTTTTCAATAACCTCCATGTTATATTTGGAAATTTGAGAATAGACTACGATAGGTATATATACGTGCAGTACATGGTCATTTCAGTAATTATGAGTCGTACTTGTCATATGATTATTTTAATTATCACACTTTTCTTTAATTCAAATCAGCAGATATAATAACCCGTATTTGTTAAAAAGCTGTTTTAATAGCCAACGCTACATGTTTCATCAATCAAAACGTGGGTCATGGGTTTTGATTACCCGTGCGTAACTATGATGTTACGATGTGTATTTGTTACCTGCATTATCATGCGTTTTAGTTTTTATCGACATCTTGGTTCTTAAAAATCATTCAAATAACTATTGAACTTGCTGAAAATGTGGATGGATTTATTATTATTTCATTGACCTACATTAACACATTTCTTACCGTCAAGTGGTTTTTTGCCGCGATGTATTATCCCTTCGGAAAGAAGATCTTGGGTTGTACATGCACTCATCGTAATAGCATATTGGAAAGTCATTCGACGTTTATAGTCAAGGACTTCACTTGTTTTAATTAATCTTCAATTAATTATTAAATCTAACCATTTTATATAGACTTAACCTGTTGCTCATAAAGTGAATACATAACGCCGATTAATGTTGTTCCAGCTATGCTATGGATTAAACGGATATAGGCAAGGGAGGTAACTTTTATTATATATTACCAATTCCGCGAATTCAACAAACGGCGATCATGTCAGAGTAGAGAAAATGTGAAAATTACAACCTGTGAAATTAATCCCCTCTACAGTATGCAGACTTACTTACAACTCTTATGGTCCCATATAGTAAACATAGGAATATTGATGATCTATTTATAAGATCAAAACTCAAATAAAATGCAGTGAAATTGATTGGTTTGTTCACAAGGTGGGCCGCTTGTCTGCTCATGAGGGTATCATGAGGAGGGCCTACGTGCCTAAGCATGCTTTCTATGTACTTAATTTTAAGAAAGGTTGATAAATATAACCGAAACACGCTTAATTGGTCAATCAGGTCATAGTATATTATATTTTATTAACAAAGTGTTTCAAGAGTAGTTTGATACGACGTCTTTCATTTAAACTCTCCGTGACTGAGACGTTGTTTCCAACAAACGCTTGAAAATCACAGAACAAAATAAGTCATTCTGATAAAAACGGATTTTGGTGGAGTTCTGTTTTATAAAAGTTGATAAACTTAAAAAAATATGTTGGAATAATCTTATGAAAAAAACTTTCAGGTCGGCGCGTTTTAAGTGGGTCGGTCGCGTTAGGGGAAACAAAGGTAATTTTTATTTTGGCCCTATTACATTGTAACCTGAACCAAGCAAGCATTTAAGTATTAAAGAACAAGGTTCACTTAGGGCCTTTTTTGGCCCTGTGAATTTCTGAAAATCTGAAACTACTTAGTTTTAGTTGACAATGCATTACATTTCATTTAGACATTTGGCGATTGCGAATCTACCAAAAATGACGTCATTTTCTGGCTAGTCAATGCATTATGACGTCATGAAATGCGTCATTTTCTTTATATCCTGAACAATTCTACAAGAACAGCCAATTTTTAAAGCTATTTTTCGATATTTAATATAGAGCGCAATCTCTGATCTAAAATTTGCAATTATTTACTGCTAGAACCGTTTCTGATTATTACAAAACGTGTTATATTTTAGATCAGAGGGTGCGCTCATATTATTTTTCTTCTATGAAAGTACTTAAATATACCTGTTTTCCTTTAAATTCAAGAACATTGCAATTCCATAAAGCTTTTTTTCCAAGACCTGGACTTTAAGGAGAAAACTTTTGATAGGAAATGATAGCACTAAGTCTCTACTTTATCTTGATGTTTAAAATGGAACATAAGGTGTTAGTCAATAAATTGGTATATCTACAGGGCCATTTTATGCATAAAGTGAACCTAGCTCTTTAAAACAGAAAAAATTACATATAATTATTTCCTTAACAGGTGTCTAACATTGATGATGTGTTGGCGTACCATGCTGATTTCCTGAACACCTGTATGAATGACTGTATGTTAACGGACCCCGACCTTCTGAGGATTGTACACAAACTGATGGTGGTTTGTGTCACATTCTCCAACTTCATACAGGTAACACTGCTTGTTCATATAACCAAAGCCTTCAAAATATGTTTTTGTATCCCAAACCGTTTTAATATGTTGAAATGTTTATGATACACTTAATTACTTTCTATGATATAGCAGAGAGATTTTGACTTTATCTGCATATTCAAAGATTATGTATCAAATAAGTTATTGTTTGTAGGGCTGGGATGATACAAGTATATCAGGATATTGTTAATATCGGTTTTGTATGATGATAATGCATATATCGATACATATGTAGAAATATCGAAATATCACAACAAAATTCTGACATTTTCCTTTGTTTGCTTAACATTTTGGGTTTAATGTATAAAATAAATTTGCTGAATAATAATACATATATGAATATAAAATACTTAAAAATTGACACTATTTGTGTAAAATAATTATATTTTACAACAGATATACAACTTAGACGAATAAATTATTCTTATTTGTAAGAAATATTTTATTACAATATTAAAAGAAGATTTAATTATAACCAACTCAGAATTTTATGATACATATCATTTCGTAGCTCAGTTAGTCGCCCGCATGGCGCAGTGGTTAGAGCGTCTGCTCTAGAGTCGCGAAGTAAGGAGTTGATCCTTACGTCGCGGGTTCGAATCCCACTGTGGGACGTGGAGACTGGTCCTTCGAATGAGACTGCATAAACCGAGGCCCCGTGTCGCAGTAGGTGCTGGCACGAAAAAGACCCCTCACTGCTCAATGGCCGTAAGTGCCGAGTATAGGACAAAATTTGCAGCTCTCCACCGGCAAGTGGTGGCGTCTCCATATGAGTGAAAAATTCTCGAGAGGGACGTTAAACAACATACAATCAATCAATCAATCGTAGCTCAGTTTTGTGATAAGTATCTATATAGAGAAAGCTGTATCGTCCCAGCCCTAATTATTTGCATCCCAAAATTGTCCAAAACCCACCTTAATGGGCACATTTATCAATGTAAGCTTGTGCTAATTAAAAAGTATGCAGTTGTTAAAGTCCATTGTAATTCTCATGAGAACTTTTATTCTAGAAATACTGAAAATTAACCTGTAACTTTGAATTGATATCAAACAGAGACTGAGTCTGAGTACAGCTGTAGAACCCGAGAGTAAACCAACTCGAGAGAGTTCTCTACAGGCCACCAGTAAAGAACACAGAGAACAGGCCATTAAAGAAAAACTCAAAACAAAGGTATCTTATCTCTCTCTCCTAATCTTCTTACTGATCACAGTGAAAAAAATCCCCACACAGAATGAATGTCAAAACATTTTGATACTTATGAGTAGGGGATAAATACATGATAAGAAAATAATTATGTCTGTGTTTAGGTATAATGAAAAAATAATAAAATATTACAACATTTGTGTACAATACTGTTAACTTATATAAGGTTATCAGAGGAAAACTCAAAACAAAGGTGTAAAATGTCAAAATATTTTCATTTAATATTTTCCCTATTGTCAAAGCTGAGAAAATTACATAATAGAAAACAATTGTATTCTTGTCCGTGTGTTTTAAAGAATAATGAAATGTAACAACATTTGTGTACAATCATGACAGTATACATTTGTGTACAATCATGACAGTATACATTTGTGTACAATCATGAAGTATACATTTATGTACAATCATGACAGTATACATTTGAAGTTCATTATCTAGAACATTTTTATCTCAAATACTAGTGATAAGTGGAAGTCAATTTCAAGTTCCTATGACTTTTACTCTATGTATTTAAACCTCAGTATCTTGAATCCTAGGATATCTGAAAGATTTTCCTTGGTTCTATTGAGTTTGAGATAACAAGTTTTCACTGTGTACGTTATCTGAGATATAAATTAAGATTCTAATTAACAACAGTCCTGTAAATAGTACCGGTAGATACACACTACACATGTATATTCTGATTTTTGAATTGTGTATGACTTGTACGTTGTTGTTCTAATATGTACTTATAAATATCCATATGTCAAATTATTTGGACCTGTGCAGCATATAAAATACTTGTATGACTGATTGACTTTACATTTGTTAGAAGTTTCTGTCATACAACCTGGATGTAAGTGTACTTGTAAATCATTATTTTATCATTACATTATCCAACCTTTCATATTAAATCTTAGTTCTAGTCATTTCTCTTTTTCTTTTAATCCAAGCTCAAGCCAGACAATTACCAGATGTACATACAATGTAATATAAAAGATCTCTCTTAGCTTGACTTCCTAATTTTCATGAAATAGTAATTTTAACCTTTCCCCTTTTCAGCTTATGTATGGTGACTTGTTCAGATATTTACGAGCTGTTATTAAATTCAACTGTATTAACAAAATTTAATAACTGTACAGTAAAATGGTGAACTTTTACATTAACATAGTTTTTGCTATGAAATTGAAAAAAAAAGTTTTTTGTTTGAAAAATCATGTTTTTTTTCATGAATTTTGTTTATTAGGTCATCAAAAATAAAACTGTTAAGATAATTGATGATCAAAATATTGCATTTGAAATTCCCTTAAGTTTAAAGAATTGTTAACAATAAAAATATTTTTCTACAGCTGTTAAATGACATGTCAGTGAGTATTAAAAAAGCAAATACATGTATACAAATTATATTTACCTTGAGAGCACAATTTTGGAAATGTTGCTTTTATTTTCAGTTCTAAAAGGGTATCCATATTTTTAGCTCTTCTGAGCCAAAGGCTCAAAGAGCTAATGCTATGGCCATTTGTGCGGTGTGCGGTGTGTGTAAACTTTTTAGAATATGGGCCATAACTCAAGAACCCCTTGGCCAATTATTGTCAAATTTGTCACAGGGTATCCTTGGCCCAAGGGCTCCCTTTTATACTAAAACTGGGGTTGTGACCCTTTAACAAGGGGAGATAATTAGGAAAATAGAAACAAAAGTGCTGGTTGCTAAAAGATCTTCTTCTCAAGAACCACTGGGCAGATTATCACCAAACTTACACAAAAGGATGAGGATATGTTGTAGATTAAAATTTGCACGGGGATTTACCCTGGGGCAAAGGGCGTGGTCTCAAGGTCACTTCAAAGTTGACCAAAAATTACATTTTATTAAAATGTTGATATTTTGCTTACTATAAGGACTAGGATCATCAAATCTTGTCAGTTGGTGCATCTAAGGACCTCATATCATGTTGACTCAAAAGTAGGTCACAGTGACCTACTTTTTAAATTTTGCGGCCATTCTTTTTCAAAATGATTTAGAGGCATATTTTGAACAATTTAAGGCCTATGATCATCAAACTTTATCAGTTGATGCATCTTGGGTCCTCAAAGTACGTCAACTAAAAAGTAGGTCACCTTGACCTACTTTTTGAATTTTATGGCTAATTTTTTTAAAAACAATTAAGGTCATTAATTCGAATACAGGGAGGCTTAGAATCATGAAATCTTGTAAGATGATGCATCTTGGGGCCATAAAACATATTTATTAAAAAGTAGGTCACAGTGACCTACTTTTTGAACTTTGCAGGCATTCAATTTCAAAGCGTTTTAGAGGCATAATTTGGACATTTTAAGTCCTATGATCATAAAACTTTGTAAGTTGATGCATCTTGGGTCCTCAAAAAAGGTCAACTGAAAAGTAGGTCACCGTGACCTACTTTTCAATTTATATGACTATAATTAAATATTTCAGGTACTAATTGGCTTAGAATCATCAAACTTTGTCAGTTGATGCATCTTGGGTCTTCGGAGTAGGTCGACTCAAAAGTAGGTCACAGTGACCTACTTTTGAAAATTTATAGCGTTAATTAAATATTTCGGGTACTAATTGGCTTAGAATCATCAAACTTTGTCAGTTAATGCATCTTGGGTCTTCAGAGTAGGTCGACTAAAAAGTAGGTCACCGTGACCTACTTTTTGAAAATTTATGGCTTTAATTAAATATTTCGGGTACTAATTGGCTTAGAATCATAAAACTTTGTCAGTTGATGCGTCATGGGTCTTCGGAGTAGGTCGACTAAAAAGTAAGTCACCGTGACCTACTTTTGGAAAATTTATGGCTTTAATAAAATATTTCGGGTACTAATTGGCTTAGAATCATAAAACTTTGTCAGTTTATGCGTCATGGGTCTTGGGAGTATAACAACTGAAAAGTAGGTCACGGTGACCTACTTTTGAAATTTAATGGCTGTATTTAATATTTTCAGGAATTATTTGGCTTGTCAAAATTTGTCAGTTGATGCATCTTTGGTCCTTGGAGTAGGTTGACTGAAAAGTAGGTCACTGTGACCTACTTTTGAAAATTTATGGCTGTAATTAAATATTTTGGGTACTTATTGGCTAGAATCATCAAACTTTGTCAGTCGATGTATCTTTGGTCCTCGGAGTACAGCAATTGAAAAGTAGGTCACGGTGACCTACTTTTGAAAATTTATGGCTTTAATTAAATATTGCAGGTACTAATTGGCTTAGAATCATCAAACTTTGTCAGTTGATGCATCTTGGGTCCTTGGAGTAAAACAATTGAAAAGTAGGTCACTTTGACCTACTTATAAAATTTTATGATTATAATTTTAAAAAATATTTTAGGTATTAATTGGCTTAGAATCATCAAACTTAGTTGATGGGTCCTCAGAGAATGACAAGTGATAAGTAGGTCACCATGACCAACTCTCAGGTACTAATTGGCTTAGAATCATCTTGGGTTCTCAGAGTGTGAATTGGAATTTCAAGGGTTTATCTAAATATACAGGATACTTCAAGGCTCCAAATAGAAGTGATAGGTTGTACAGTTTATCAGAAGAGCGATTCAAGGCCCATGGGCCTCTTGTTTTTTATATCCACTGTAATTATATATATTTAGGATGAGTTATTTACTGGTGGTAGGTACTGAAAAAAATTCACCCAGTGAACAATGGATGAACTCACAATTTACAGTAATATTTTAGTTCACCTAACATAACCCAAAAATCTATGAGCTCTTTTAGTCAAAGTATTGACGTGTGTAAAAACTACATTGTAAATGGGATTATAAAGATTAAACTTCAATTTAAAGTAAAAAAAAAGTTGCAGATAATTTTTTTTTTATAAAATTAGTTTCCAATATGTTATGAGTTCAATGATCTGTGGGCAAATGCTTTCCAATTTTTTGAGCATGTTTGGTCTGTGGGCAGATAGAACACGGGTGCTGAGTATACACCTGGGTATCGTGTACATGTATATGAATGCCGATTCAGGGATATATTCTCCATTGTGAACAATTGTTGATACAATCAAAAGATAATAAATTTAGTGCAGAAGTAGTCATACTGTCAATATTGTACTGAGGATACATTGTTACAGTACAGTGTGGCTTGATATAAGTATTTTATGATATAACACAGAAAGAATGTGTTTTAAAGATTATGAGATATATTCATAAGGGATATATTGTAATAGTTATTGAATGGAATGGTAATATGTTTTACCAGGGGTTATTGCTTTATATCATCTCCTATTTCAACATTAAAACCTTTTACTATTGAGCATTTCCTATTTGGTTTGATCACTTTTGTTTAGAAATTAAAAAAAAATCAGACAAAGAACTTACTCATTCCAATGCCGGAAGACGGATTAATAAATTAGAGAAATGGGAACAAAAAACTGCACATAATTTTGAATTTATAGGTTGTGGCAGAACATGTAGATTTGATGATGGCCAGTGAGAATTTTGAGAGGACGATTGCAAACTTTGATCATAATTTCTCAGGTAAACTGATAGACTTACTGAGAAAAATCATGGACCTTAGTTCAGAGAGTGGACATCTCAAACTGCTGAATATTCTCTACAGGTTAGTGGTGACAAAAAGAAAATACACATACCTGACATAGCATTTTTGTTCGATTATGCTTCGAGATAATTTTCTTATAAAACAGAGCTGTGTAACATTTCATTTCCTTGTATAAGTGCAAAAAATATACATACATGTATTGAGTATTAAAAGTTTCTTGTGAAACACTTAAAAAAATAGAAAAAGTGGTTATAAAGGTACATATATTATGACGATTATAAATAGGTGATTTTCATTTTTTTACTTATTGCATTTTTATAGACTGGATTTCAATGGTTTCTACAAGGAGAAGCTAGAGGCCATGTCTGCAGAGAAGGCCATGATGGAATCTTCAATACATAGTACAGATTCTGGTAAATTATAAATAATATTAAATCATCAGTTTGAGTCTACGTAATTGTACTGATTGCAAAAAAGGTAAGACTCGGGTTAATAGTTTTTAAAAAGTCACCTGTTAGTGTGAATTTATTGTATCCAATACCTGCACAGGCAAAGTGCTCTTAGTTGATCAGTTCTCAAGGGCCTAATTAAAGGAGAATGTACCAGACATTTGAGAAATACTAGTGATCAAGTTTTACTGCAAATTATTTTTAAACATTTCAAAACTCATCTCAAAAAAAAAGGTTATAAACATTCAGAAATTGAACATATTATGCAAGAAACTCTTTCTGCAAATAGAATGGATCTTCTCAAAAAACCAAAAAGGAAAAATAATAAAAACGCTGTACCCAACGTTTTGGCCACCAAGTTTAACCCATGTATAAAAGGGTTAAGGAAACGACATGAAATATTGGAATTACATACAACATGACAAAATATGCAAAGACTTATTCACAACACCTCCTATAGTTGCATACAATAAACACAAGAATATATTTAGATCATTAAATCCGGGTAAAAATCAAACGAAGTTAAGACATTGATTGATTTATACATAAGGTGAACTCCTGACGAGGCGGGCCTTATTACAAATATGAAATGACATGTGCTGTTAATACCACTGAAACACTCTTAATTAGTTTTGACATAAAAGCCATTGAGCAAATACTTAATTAAGAGTGCTGGGTTCTAATAAGTTTAAGACATGTCTGGTTGTAAGTATACCATCGATTTTTTGTACACAATTTTTTTTTATAGCTATTAAATTTCTTCAAGGAATCAAGCCTACTAAAACTCGTTATTACATTTATTTTAAAATCACCTTTATCTATTAACAGGATCAACAGGTTCATGGCCAACATCATCATTTACATCACAGCGTCCAGATACAGCTCAATATGTCCCAAGTATCCATAAACAAAGACCGTCATCTAACTCATCTAGTTAACTACTTAGTACGTTCCCAGTATCCACAAACAAAGACCGTCATCTAACTATTCTAGTTAATTACTTAGTACGTCCCCAGTATTCACAAACAAAGGCTGTCATCTAACTCCTCCCGTTAAAGCAGGACTTGCACAGAATATCACAAGTAGCAGGGAAGAAAACTATGAATAGCATAAGACTTAATCGTATCTGAAGGCATTTATTTTTGGATATAAATGTCCTATTTTAATTCATATGTTGCTGTATGTACTAGTAGATGTTAAAGCAGACATTTTTGTGACGGGGATCTTTTCAAAAGAATTTTCTTAAGAAAATTGTTCATATGGGAAGTGAGAACTGTTCTCATTCAAGAAATTATTTTCCAGTCTGTAGCATTGTATCAATTTTTTTTTAATTCATTCATTTTATTTTAAAGAAAAAATGCACAAAGCCTTTACAGAACTTGAAATAAACATTAAGATGAACTTGTCAAAAGTTTTTCACTGATATTGATAAATTTTTCATGCAGATGTTACTTAATTATAATGAGATATTACTTAATTAAGGAATAAGATTGTGTGATATACTTATTTTTTCTTGATAAAGAGCTTTAAAATCCAAGTTTCTGAATGTTATTTATTTTTGAACGTATATTGCAACTTTATAGTAGATTGCAAAAAGAATAGACCGAGAAATATAATGTTAATGTTACAGTGTGAATGTCTCAACGGTTGTAAACTAAAGGAAAATGTTTGTAGGACACAATATTTGGCTTCTGTGTTTCCACTATGCAGAAAATATCTCCATTATAAAATTGTGATGATCTGCAGAAAGATTTTTTCATCATTGTGTAGCTTAATTTAGAGAAAACCATACAGTAACATGTAAGAAATCCTTTCATTTTTGAGAATACACTGTCATAGAACTTTGTTATTCTCTTTAAAAAATATTGCTGATTAGTGACGTAATATCAAAAGAGACAAAATTTTACTAAAAAAAGTGCATAATTTTGGAAATATGAAATATATCAAGGAAACACTACCTAGTTTGTTGGGTATGCCACGGCATCAACGATAAAGTCTTAGTTGTGGGATAATTTGCAAATAAGCAAAGCCTGTTAAGCATTAATTATTCTATTGCTAGTCCCCTACTGGCAAGATCATTGAAGCGGAACAAAATGCAGACTTGATCTATTACACATCAAGTTAAATTCACATACCAAAAAAATCAGCTCAATATCTGCAGGCGTTTATAAAAAAAATGCGGAAAACTAACAGGGCTGTAATCCCATCAAGATTATTGAAGTGGAACGAAATGAAAATTTGTAACTTATAATCAAGATACACCCACTTAACAAAAACCAGCTTTATGTCTCCAAGCGTTTAAGTAAAAGTGCGAAAAACCAAGTGGGACAGACTGAGAGACAAACAGAGGAACAGACAGACTGTCGGACAGACAAGGAGGAAACCTATAGTCCCAGGTTTGTCCCTAAGACACGGGGGTTGCAGAATTTCCCCGCCTATAATGATGTAATTCCCCAATTATTCTGGTGTTCCACCTAAATTCCCTGTAAGGACAGGAACTTTAAACCCTTTCTACTTTTTTAATGTCCCCTTTTATTGCAACTCTTAGGGACAGCCCTCTAGTCCCCACCGGTTTTACCGGTAGGGGATACATAACTACATGTATTTTAATAATGTTTTTGTTTGTTTGTTTGTATGTTGTTTAACATCCCTCTCGAGAATTTTTCACTCATATGGAGACGCCACCATTTGCCGGTGGAGAGCTGCAAATTTTGTCCTATACTCGGCACTTAGGCCATGGAGCAGTGAGGGATCTTTTTCGTGCCAGCACCTACTGCGACAAGGGACCTCGGTTTATACGATCTCATCAGAAGGACCGGTCTCCACGTCCCACAGTGGGATTTGAACCCGCGACATAAGGATCAACTCCTTATGTCGCGACTCTAGAGCAGACGCTCTAACCACTGCACCACGCGGGCTATTTTAATAATGAATAAACCATTTAATCCTTTATCAAATACTTATCTCAGTACAGGTAACATTGAGCAGTTTTAAGGTCTCAGGGAAATTAAAATAATAGAGTGTTGTACATAGAACATATTACCCTACGTCATCACCCAAGTATAGTGTTATAAAGAGAACAGGTTAATGTTACCTGTAATTTCTCATTTCAGTGTTGAGATCATGTGATGTAGGGATTTTTTTTCCTATACTAAGTGATAATGTCTTGTATTCGGCTCTAATTATTACATTATACCATAAATATAAATAGAACAAGGCATCCTACATCACCACTCAGGTATAGTGTTACAAATAGAAAACATCTTTTACATCACCACTCAGGTATAGTGTTATAAATAGAACACGACACTCTACATCACCACTCAGATATACTGTTATAAATACTTGTAGAACACAACACCATACATCACCACTCAGGTATAGTGTTATAAATACATGTAGAACACAACACCATACATCACCACTCAGGTATAGTGTTATAAATACATGTAGAACACAACAACCTACATCACCACTCAGGAATAGTGTTATGAATAGAACACAACAACTACATCACCACTCAGGTATAGTGTTATAAATAGAACACGACACACTACATCACCACTCAGGTATAGTGTTATAAATAGAACATGACACCCTACATCACCACTCAGGTATAGTGTTATAAATAGAACATGACACCCTACATCACAACTCAGGTACAGTGGCGCCGCGTTTATCCCGACGCCATTTATCCGGACGCTTCACCATCCGGACGATATTTTTTGGGAACCGATTTTTTCCACGTTATTTTGTCTCATTAATCCGGAAATTCGCGTTCCGTATCCGGACGGTCAATTTCTACTACAAAACATAATAGTTCATTGAAAAATGACTCGTTTATCCGGACGGTAATTTTTCAAAAACGACTTTTCACACTTATCTTGCATTCGTGTTAATTGTTGTAAAAACATTGGCCATACAGTCAGTTTGAAGGCGGTTACCTGTGACCTACAAACAATAGCGTCTATAATTAGCGTGTGTTTACCCCAATTCAATCACACGTTTATCTTTATTATGAAGCTCAAAGAATTTAGCTGACACTGTGCATTAATTAAATAATAATCCGTTCAAAATCATATTGCTAACCGTATATACATCGCTAAATTCAGGAGAATTTTGGAGAGTTGTAAATAAAATGAGCAATAAATACCGAGCGATTTCGTAATGCTCTTTATCATGTCGATTAACGTTAGTTTAAAATACGATGTTCCATTTCTAAAAAACGTAAATGTATTTGAAACGCTTTTTTCCCACAAGACAGTATACAAAGGAACATAATAGAAGAACCTATCTAATGTGCTACCGTTTACAAACGTCCATTACATATAAAACTGGCGTTACGTACAGATGTTGATTACGTTTTTCAAGGTATTTTTTAATGATCGAAATTCAAACTTAGCGTCTGTAGAAAAAAATAATATTGAAAATCATGAAGATGGCTTGTGTTTACGAATGTTTTTAATACTTTTTTTTGATTAGTTTGCAGTGTTCAGTTAATTTTACAGTAACCCTGTGTAATGAATATACGGGGAATATACCGGGTTAGTTTATATTTGAACATTTTCAATGATGGTGCTGAACAGTTCTGTCATATCATATAAGTTTCAATTATTATAATATATGGCAAGATAAAACAACAGTAGATCAAAATTTGCTCAACCCATGAAGTCACATGTCAAAGAGAAGGTGAATTAAAAAAGGAGGTCTCGGCATAAAATTTGCCATCCATTTTTTTTTTATTGTGTAAATTACATTTTACTATATTTTTTCATTAATCAATTACTGCTTTTAAAACAATTAACCGAAATATAATTTAAAAGTTTTTTTTCTTTGCTGTCACATTTGAAACAAGAATGTGCATATATACATGTACATGCTTATATAGAGAGTGCTTTTTGATATGTGATTCAATTATCCGGACGATTCATTTATCCGGACGATTTCGTTGGGGACAGAGGCGTCCGGATAAACGAGGCGCCACTGTATAGTGTTATAGATAGAACAAGACATCCTACATATGTACGTCACCACTCAGACATAGTGTTATAAATAGAACACGACACACTACATCACCACTCAGGTATAGTGTTATAGATAGAACAAGACACCCTACCTAACCACTCAGGTATAGTGTTATAAATTGAACACGACACCCTACATCACCACTCAGGTAAAGTGTTATAAATAGAACATGATACCCTACATCACCGCTCAGGTATAGTCTTATAAACAGAACACGACATCCTACATCACCACTCAGGTATAGTAATATAAACAGAATGGGACACCGTACATCGCCACTCAGGTATAGTGTTATAAATAGAATGGGACACTGCATCACGACTCAGGTATAGTGTAATAAATAGAACACGACACCCTACATCACCACTCAGGTATAGTAATATAAATAGAATGAGACACCCTACATCACCACTCAGGTATTATGTTATAAATAGAACATGGCACTCTATTTCATTTTTATTATTAAATAGAATCTTCTATATCACCACCCACATCATTCTTATTATAACCAAAATAAGACTTTAAAAATAATTAGTCATATTAAATATTCTTACAACCAAAATGTTTTTTTTTTTTTTATATCAAATGAAAGTTGTTTTTTTTTCAATTTACTTCATCAGATTACACATCATGTAGTTTTGATTCCAGCTAACAGCTGATTGAGACATTAATGAATTTATGTTTTATGTTCTGTTTAACAGGATAAAATCACATATTAATGCAGTTAATTTACAAGAACTCGAAAATCTCCACATTTCTATCATGTCTATTTCACTCAGCCACAGAAAGACTAACTCAGTTTCAAACAGTTTTTCTATACACATTGTTTACATGTATTTTTTTTTCAAACCATCAAACAAAAAACATGGCTAAAAAACATTGTTTACATATACTTGATTTTCTTCACTTTACCACTGATAAATTCAGCCACAAAGAGGTCACATAAAGCATATGGATGCCATAGATCACAGTTATCAATGTAACAGAGGAACTGTCCGTCCTGATCTATGATGTGAATACAATGGTTGTCACAGTCTGCTGTCAGGATCCGCCTCTGGATATGTCTCTTGTGATGCCGACTGAACTAAATGGTCACTTATGACAATGAAGTAGTTACATATATTTGATTTTCTTTACTTTACCACTGCGACACTCAACCACAAAGAGGTTGTCTCTGGAGTCTACACACAAACCCCATGGATCCTGTAGACCAAAGTAATCAATGTAACAGAGGAATTGTCCGTCCTGATTTAGGATGTGGATACAGTTGTTGATAGTGCCTGATGTCAGGATATGACCCTGGCTGTCTGTTGTGATGCCGCGTGGATCAAATGATCTCTTAGTAGTAGAGGGATGACCAGTGTATCTAAATCGGAGTTTTCCTGCCTGATTAACCACCACTACAGCATTGACGCAAAAGTCAGCTACACAGATATCCAGATTCCTGTTCTCACTGATATACGAGGGCCGTTCAAAAATTACGCGGACTTGTTGCACAGAAAATATATTTGA